GAGAGAGAGAGAGAGAGAGAGAGAGAGAGAGAGAGAGAGAGAGGAGAGAGAGAGAGAGAGAGAGAGAGAGAGAGAGAGAGAGAGAGAGAGAGAGAGAGTAGAGAGAGAGAGAGAGAGAGAGAGAGAGAGAGAGAGTATCATCTGTTTTACTACTATTAAGTCACGAACCTTTCAAATGGTGAACATTTTTAAGTATATGTATAGTATTGAACAGAACGGGGTACCCAGCGGTGCCCGGGTCTCTCTATGTCTCTCCCGCTGCATGAACCATGGGAGTATCACAGTTTACAGCATGGTCTACGTTCTTGGGAGGCGATAATGACAGCACTCAAGCACCCAATGCCAAGGCAGGCTCCGAGGAAGCGAGCCCTCCAGGGTAGCAGCGGCCACTAACCCTGGCTTCGATCCCGCCCTCGTACTTGTAATTGCACAATTACAGTCTGCAACTTGCATATAATAAGATTGATCCGCAGTAAAATACAAAGGTGTGTAACTTTGATAACAGTCAGACGGCTTTAGGTATATCTCTTTGCATAGTCTAGTCATTCAAAAAGGTTCAAATTCTCGAATTTCTTTAAAGTACGCGGAGTCAAGTGAATTCAAATGGGAACAACCAGAGAAAATGAGAAGATCTAGACAGAATAGGAATTAGAAAGAGAGGAAGTAGAAAAATTGGAAGAATCAGAGAAAGTGGGAAAATCAGAGAAAGTGGGAAAATCAGAGAAAATAGGAAGTTTCAGAGAAAATGGAAACCAGAGAAATTAGGAGTCGTAGGTGATACTATTAAAGAATAAGGGTCGCGGTGGGCGTGGCTGATAAGTGTGGCAATAGGCGTGGCTGGTCACCGGTGTGCACACAATATCGATATTTTCATTAGTATTCCCTCATAAATTTAGCAGTAAACCGGCGTTAAGGGATAACTAATAAGAATTTTTAGTCAAGTGGAAACACTTGTCGATAACTAGCAAGCTAACCTAATACTGTGTTATGCTTCCTCCGGCGTGGGATAACCACCTCACCCTTGTGTCAGGGCCACACCATACGACACCACAAATTACTCCACTAGGTGTCACCTCACAGAAGTGGCACGGCACTACACACCACTCTACCACGTCCCGGAAACAGTACAATACGTCACCATACGTCACGAGAGTCGATCACTACACGTCACGTCAAGACACGGTACTTCCTTAAACGTCACCGGAGTTTAACTTACATTGACGTCAAAGGGCAAACTGGCTGGTAGCTGTAGTACAGACGTCAGAGACTCCCACGCCTCTTCCCTGAGTGTTACTGGCCCAGGTAAGGCTCCCACGTCTCTCTCTGAGTCAGTAACTGGCCCAGGTAAGGCTCCCACGCCTTTCTCTGAGTCAGTAACTGACCCAGGTAAGGCTCCCACGTCTCTCTCTGAGTCAGTAACTGGCCCAGGTAAGGCTCCCACGTCTCTCTCTGAGTCAGTAACTGGCCCAGGTAAGGCTCCCACGCCTTTCTCTGAGTCAGTAACTGGCCCAGGTAAGGCTCCCACGTCTCTCTCTGAGTCAGTAACTGGCCCAGGTAAGGCTCCCACGTCTCTCTCTGAGTCAGTAACTGGCCCAGGTAAGGCTCCCACGTCTCTCTCTGAGTCAGTAACTGGCCCAGGTAAGGCTCCCACGTCTCTCTCTGAGTCAGTAACTGGCCCAGGTAAGGCTCCCACGTCTCTCTGAGTCAGTAACTGGCCCAGGTAAGGCTCCCACGTCTCTCTGAGTCAGTAACTGGCCCAGGTAAGGCTCCCACGCCTCTCTCTGAGTCAGTAACTGGCCCAGGTAAGGCTCCCACGTCTCTCTCAGAGTCAGTAACTGGCCCAGGTAAGGCTCCCACGTCTCTCTCAGAGTCAGTAACTGGCCCAGGTAAGGCTCCCACGCCTTCTGGAGGAGTGACAGGAAGACTTATGTCATGGATGAAAACATTTCTGATAACAACGAGGGCGGTAATCAGAGACCATGTATCAGACTAGAGAAATGTTAATAGTGGAGTTCCTCAAGATTCATTTCTAGCACCAATAATCTTCATTTTCTATGTAAATGAGTTTCCAGAGGGACTGTAGACTTACATGCTTGCTGATCATATCGAGCTAATAGGGAAAATAAGAGACTTTGAACATTGTCATGCCCTACAAGATGATCTAGACACAATACATGCCACTGAAATTTGCTTAGCTAAATCAATTTTAGGGTTCAGTTCCTGAACCCATTATGTGCTTCTGTAGTTTTTTCGACTAGAGCCCACAGGATGGGTATAGGGTCCACTAGCCCCCACAGGATGGGTATAGGGTCCCCTAATCTCCACAGGATGGGTACGGGATGGTACATAAAGGAACTACTCTACTCTAGAGTATAGGAAAGCTTTATTTTATCTCGTATATATTTGTTCTTATTTGAAAAAATGACATTCGAAAATGAATGTCATTTATTTTTTTAGATGATGTCTATATTTTTTTTTTTTGAGATATATACAAGAGTTGTTACATTCTTGTACAGCCACTAGTACGCGTAGCGTTTCGGGCAAGTCCTTAATCCTATGGTCCCTGGAATACGATCCCCTGCCGCGAAGAATCGTTTTTTCATCCAAGTACACATTTGACTGTTGCGTTAAACAGAGGCTACAGTTAAGGAATTGCGCCCAGTAAATCCTCCCCGGCCAGGATACGAACCCATGACATAGCGCTCGCGGAACGCCAGGCGAGTGTCTTACCACTACACCACGGAGACTGCAAAATTAAAGCATGGCATTTGGGGGCGACCCCATCGGGCCTTAGGCACTCACATGAACACCATGTTTCAAGTTGTGAAGCTGGGTGAGACTAGCCCCAAGCCACTGCCCTCTTCACACACACTGAAAGACAATTTTTTATAGACTTAGATAACTATACTGTGTTATTAAATTTTGTAGTGACCAACATCGTGATTCGATTTCTTTCACGTAAATTGAATCCATTGTTTGTTGCTTTCTCTCGGTAGTATATACCAAGGAAGTCTGGTGGTAGTAATATTGGGTATAAGGACATGGAATGGAATATGGTATAATTCTTTCGTGTAGTCTTTAAGTTTACTTGAGTTTGCGGTGAATATTTACACGATTTTCTTCTTTTACAGGTAACGCGATGACTTCCCGCTCTCGCTCCTCCGACGTTGGTCCTATTATTCCTTTACTCTCTCCTTGTGCCTGCTCTACACACACCTTTATTCTGATCTCTCTCTCTCTTCCTCTTCTGCTCAATCTTCTTATTGTAAGCACTATGTCAAATATACATCTTCTCTCTCTCTCTCTCCCTGTCTCTCACTCAAGCACTCATCTCTCCCACCGTGTTAGAGGTCCAGCTGACCAGCCTGAAGAACGAGAGGTGACCTGTGAGTACTGACCTCCACCAGACCTGGGGGAGATCACCTCCCCCAGGTCTGGTCTGGCACCCCTGCGCCCTCTCGCTGGCTGGGGGGCAATACCTGATATGTTGTGTTTAGTCATAGTGGTCGCTTTGTGTCGTACCTTATACACACACACACACACACACACACACACACACACACACACACACACACACACACACACACACACACACACACACACACACACACACACACACACACACCTAACTAACACTAACCTAACCTAACCTAACCTAACCTGACCTGACCTGACCTAACCTGACCTAACCTAACCTAACCTAACCTAACCTAACCTGACCTGACCTGACCTGACCTGACCTGACCTGACCTGACATGTCCTGACTTGACCTGACCTGACCTGACCTGACCTGACCTGACCTGACCTGACTGACCTGACTGACCTGACCTGACCTAACCTGACCTAACCTAACCTGACCTATCCTAACCCTGCAGTTTTCAAAATATCCCAAATTCGATATCTGAGCCATATTTTGGAGCCAAATTCTGGCTCTCTGCACGTATTCGCAGTTTGAAATTCCGAATTTTTATACCGAAAATAGGCCAATTACTGAAAGCGGCGGTGGGACACATTTTGCCCAAACCCCCCTGCAGTTTTCAAAATATCCCAAATATCCCAAATTCGATACCTGAGCCATATTTTGGAGCCAAATTCTCGCTCTCTGCACCTATTCGCAGTTTGAAATTCCGACTTTTTCTACCGAAAATAGACCAATTACTGAAAGCGGCGGTGGGTCACATTTTGCCCAAACCCCCCTGCAGTTTTCAAAATATCCCAAATATCCCAAATTCGATACCTGAGCCATATTTTGGAGCCCTTACATGTTGTGTTTAGTCATAGTGGTCGCATTATGTCGTACCTTACACACACACACACACACACACACACACACACACACACACACACACACACACACACACACACACACACACACACACACACACACACACACACACCATACATGAAGCGCATTCCAGTTTGTAAACTGCACGTTTCTGTAGTAGAGGCAAAGGGGGGAAGGGAAAAATATGAGTAAATTAAGGAAAAGGCGCGAAACAAGGAGAGGGATGAAACGCCGACAAAAGAGAGTTAGGAAACAAGAAATAGAAGAGAAAAGATATACACAGGAAGCAGGAGGCAGAAGACCGAATGACGGAGAGAGGTAGTGAGAGGAGATAGAGAGGAGACATGACAGAAGGGCATGATGAAGAGTAAATGAGACACTGGCTGTCTTACCCATCCATGTGACCGAGTGCTCGAATGTGTCTCACTCTTACTAGTCAGGTAATGAGAACTGGTCAACACTCAGCCTAGTGTAGCCAGGGGGTCTTGGCTTGTGTAAAAATTCTCAGTTCCCTAGAGGGTTTAGGAAACGGAATTGAACTATCAGGGGAGAGTGCCAAGCCATTACGACTATATAGCACTTGGAAGGGGTCAGGATAAGGATTTGGGA